CTGGTAAAAGATTTCTCACATGTAGCACACTGGTAGGGTTTCTCTCTTGTATGTGATCTCTGGTGTTGTATGAGGGCTGACTCACAGCTGAAGGCTTTCCCACATTGGCTGCATTCACAGGGTTTCTCACCTGTATGTGATCTCTGGAGTTGTATGAGGGCTGATTTGCAGCTGAAGGCTTTCCCACATTGGCTGCATTCACAGGGTTTCTCACCTGTATGTGATCTCTGGAGTTGTATGAGGGCTGCTTTGCTTCTTAAGGCTTTCCCACATTGGCTGCAGCTTTGCTACATTCATTGCACCCAAAGCATTTCTCACTTTTATGAGTTTTCTGAAATTGTGAGAGACATGATTTGCTCCTATTTTTTTCCAATTTCATGATGGTCACGGTGTTTCATATGCGTATCATCGTGTTTGGAGCAGTGCACTCCATACGCAATTTATCACAGTCACTATCACAATCAAATTATCAAATTCACAATGATTATCTTCAGAGAAAGATGTCTGAGGGAACAAAAGTGGTGAGTTATCAGAAAGCAGTCTCCCATAATTATTGCATTCACAGCCAGTGTGCTCTGTGCTCTCACTGTTCTGTGGATTACTCATCTTTTTTCCAGGATGGCATCTAGACATACATTATATTAAGAAAAATGATCTGTAGCTTGGACCTTTTCATGTTGCAAAGGAATTTCATGACCATTGGTTGTAGCCTTGTTTTTAAAACTACACTTTTCTCTCTAGTAAGAATTTTCTCACATTTAATGTTGAGTAATAATTTTCCACAGGTATTAAATTCATTAGGATGTTTTGCTGTTCTTTTTAATTTTTTGAGAAACGTCTATGTCGGGAGGCCCTGCTGGTCACATGTTACAGTTTACCACGGCCTGGCAGCTTTCTCCAAGTTCAGCAACATGGAGGACTCCCTCCCCAGTCAGGCTTCCTGCTCTCTACCTGACCTTACCTGGAGGATGTCTCTAGGCCTGGGTGACTGGCTTATCTCAAGGCACCTTGACATAGTTGCCTGCAAACACTCTCCCCGTGATGCCCACATGATAATTAGCTTAATGCTTTAGTCATTTTGATAGGGCCATGCTTCCACTAATCCAGCTATATGACAGGAGCATGCCACTTAATGTAAATTAAGGTCTGTTCCCAGGCTTTTATGGAGCCGATTCCCTATGGAGGGATAGTCTCTCAGCCTAGATACATGGGGGAGGGCCTAGGTCCTGCCCCAAATGATGTGACAGACTTTGATGATTCCCTATGGATAGTCTCACCCTCCCTGAGGAGTGGATGGGGGTGGGATGAGAGGTTGGCAGGGGGCTCGGGAATATGGGAGGGAGAGGGAACTGTGATTGGCATGTAAAATAAGATAGTTTTTAATTTAAATAAAATTAATTTAAAAAAGAAACATGAGACCCCTGGAACATCGCAATAGAGAAATGAATAGAGAAATTATCAGGGGTGGACAAGCCTGAGGACCCAGGTTTGAATCCTCACAACCCTCGGGTGTGTGGTGTGAGCAACTGTAATCCCAGACTAGAACTACTACGGAGAAATGAGAAACAGAGACAGGAGAATCCTTGGACAATTGCAGGCCGGCTAGCCTGGTGGATCCCAAACAAGATGAAAGGCCAGGGCTGTTACTCAAGGTTGTCCTCTGACTTCCACACACACATTATGTCATATGACTGTCACACACGAATGTGCACACACACACACACACACACACACACACAAACACACACATACTCCACAATCTTCTGATACTCAACATTGACCAAGATTGTCTTGATTGAAATATCATTAAACTTTACAAAGTGCCCAGATGCTTCACAATTGTGCATTACACAGAAAGTAGCTTTACCCATAGAGACAACGCAGCTATAGTTCTCCAGCATCACACCCCTGTACAGGGACCGCTGGCCCGGGTCCAGGTACCGTTCCTCTTGGCTGAAGCCCACAGTTACATCTTTAATGATACCAGTCCCTGGAATTTCACTTCCATCTGAAATAGTTAAAATTAGGTGTTATGAAAAAAGATGTGTGTCATGAGTCTTGACTGTGATTATTACTTACATCTCATCAAGATGGTTTTAGAATAGTTGATTCATTTTGTATTTTATGGGGAAAGGAAAATAATAATGGAAGCATGTTCCCATTGTGCTAACACCCTATGGAAGGCCTCACCATCCGGGGGAGCAGAAAGGATATGTGATAGGTAGGGTTTTAGTTGGGGGGTGGCAGGGGAGGACTGGCAGGAGCAGGGAACTGGGATTTTCATGTAAAACAATCTTGTTTCTAATTCAAATAAAAAATTAACAAAAAAGAAGAAGATGGGGGGGAAGTAAGAGATTCTTTTTTTTAAATCTAGATACAGGTACTTTGTTTACAAATATTTAGATAACAGCATTTTGTTACATAAAATGAAGAGTACAGCAGTCTGAATAAATCCTTCTGTCACAAAAACAATCAAGACCCACTGTAAATAACTGAGAGTCAGGGTATTGCACCTCAACAAGCTGAAGTACTCTTTAGTTTGTGATTGCTACTTTATATCCCGATGGGTGATTTGGGTGGGATGTTTTTGCTTTTTTTTTTTTTTTTTTTTTTTTTTAAAAAAAAATACACACACCAGCAGGTCATGGTCCCTGGGTAAATCCCTTGTGATGCAACAGTGTAAGCAAATGGATCACTGTAAGTCTTTTAACAGAAGATAACCAGTCTACTCCAGGAATCTTTAAGTTAAAGAAAAAAAAAAGTGAATTCACAAATAAACCGAATCCTATTTCTGCACATTCCAGTTTTGGCTTTTTTTTAACATCAACTATAAACTCTGGACCCATTACATGTTTATAATCCAGAAAGATGTGTTTTTACATTGGTAAAGAGGGATTTAAAATGTAAATTTTAAACACAGTGCTTAGCTGGGAACATTTTCTATAATGTGCTTGGGTTTCCCAATGACCTCTTGATTCCCAGCCACTTTCAAATCAGCTAGAAACCAACAACGATGAGTGAAGAACCCAGTAAAGCAGATGCCTTCATTCTAAAGGTGTGTTTCCTTTGCAGGGTGCTCTTCCTCGGCCAGACCACCCAGTGCAAAGTAGTAACTTACTTTGTGTCAGCATACACACTTAGAAACATTGTTCCCTTTTACTAAACATAGTGGCTCTCAGCATCACACAGACTCCTTGTAGAAGAGACTGGTGAGTCTCCTAACTTCTCTCTTCCGGTTGGCGTAGTGCTTCAGAATCTGCATTTGAAACAAGCCCAATCTGAATCCAAAGCTGATGCCAACAAATTAGAGAAAGCTGTGTCTGAGGCCTGTGCCCCGTTGCTGTCGACACCAGTCACATGAAATATAAGAAACAGCGCTTTTTGGTTGGGCAAGGCTGTAAATTAACAGAGACACCTGAGGAAGATTCAACACAAACTAGGTGTAGCAAATAGGTTCAGCTACCCTTACATACTTTCATTTGAGGGTTTCTCTTTTGTCTTGAGAACATGTGACGGATGGTGCATGCAGATGTGAAGCTGTGCCTTTGCAAACTCATCAATGGATGACCTGTAACTCATATGGATAATGCTTTTTCTTTTTCCAAAAATAAAGTTGTATGAACTTTGGCCATCTGTGGTTGGCAGGCAGGGAGCTTTATTTTTAATTATTTTCCCAACACCTGACACCTGGAAAGGTACCTATAAAGATAAAATAAAATAGCTCCACGAAGCTGCTTCCATGTTGGAATATGATGGTGGGGTACCCTAAATCCAAGTTCCAGGACCATGATCACTAAATTTGGTTCCAAAATAAATTTTTCTTATCCCCTTTGAGGTGAGAGCTGTGTTTCTGTCAACAATATTTTTACCATGAATATTATGGACTGTTTGTTCCCATGGTACCATTATCTCTTTTTGTTTGTTTGTTTGTTTGGTTTTTGGTTTTTGGTTTTTCAAGACAGGGTTTCTCTGTGGAGCCCTGGCTGTCCTGCTCTGGAGACCAGGCTGGCCTCAAACTCAGACGTCTGCCTTTCTGTGCTGGAATTAAAGGACCATTGCTGCCTGGCAAAAGCACTGTCTCTTAAGTTGGCCCTTTGTGGACCAATGGATGAGTCTGGCTTCTTTTGACTCAGCCTTTGATCCTAAAAGCTCTGACACCATACATACATATAATGTGCACATTTCATGTGTATTAATTGTAATTTTATTGTGAAAGATTTAATGTTTCCATATTTCTAAAGTTAGTACATTGCAAACTGAAGTTGTCGACAGGGACATACACAGGTTGTTTTACATATTCAGTATATCATTCTTAGTGAGATGGTACCAATGACATCTGTTATCCGTTGGATAACTCTTTAAAGAAACTCTTTGGGAAGTAACATGTATGACGCTTCATTTGGTGTCTGCTCCTTTGGTTTATATATACTACACTTTTGTTTTGTTTCGTTTTGTTTCTCACGTTTCGTGTTTTCATTTACATAGCTTCGAAAGCTAGCAACCCTGGGATAAAACTGAAATCTTTGGGTGTAAGATCGCACTTGGTTCCAAGTAATTAAGCCTTAAGCTACCACTAGTACACACTGCACGACCTCAGCCTCTGTCTTCCCGCCCAGGGGTGTCCACTGCTCGCTCAATCATCCGCATAGACCAGGCCTGCGGAGATGTGGACAGCACACAGCAGTGATGCACCGAGCGCCAAACTTCATAACGTGATCCAAAATGGAGTTGTCGCGGAGGCTCCTGGAAAGCGTAGTTCCCCGCAGAGTGTCGTTCGGCGCATGAGCGGAGACCTTTTCTGTCACCCGCGGAAGTTTTATGCTTTGCCTGGAGGGGGAATGGGGGGAGGCTAGGGGACTGGGAGGCTGAGGGAGTGTGTGTGGGGGGGGGGTGGCTGAGCACCGCGACATCCCCCGGACCTGGGGGCCTC